GAATGCTCCTGGAACCAAATAATATATCCTTACTCACTTGCTATATTTTTTCCTGCTTTTCAGGTGCCCGGATTTGTCTGGGGGACCAGTTGGCCAAAATTGAGATTTTCCTTTTCTTTACCCACCTGCTGAGGATATTTAAATTTCAGCTTCCAGAAGGCGTGAAAGCATTAAACAAAGAGCCAATGTTAGGGTTCACTTTACATCCCCATCCTTACAAAATTTGCGCTATTCCCCGCAGCACCTCAACATAAAGGAGATGGAAACAAATTGCCGTGCCTTACTAAATCCTGAACACTTCTCTGCCTTGACTTGTTAAGTGCTTACATTCATTCTGGCCAGGAACGTTGCTGGCTTTGGCAAAGCTTCAAGCAAATGCATCATTAGCTGTTCATCACTGCCTGCTAGAATTAAGCGGGACACTCTCCTGGATTTTCACCCTCATTCATAGGAAGTAAAGTGGAGAGAAGGGAGTAGTTCTCCTATTTTCTTCACATCAGACCTAAACACAAACACTTTGCATTGCCAGGTATTGTGTCTAGCAGATGGCTTCCTCCCTTCTATCATAAGTTGTTTTTTTTTTTAAATGTTGATTGTCATTTTGTATTGAAGTTATGGATCCATCACTTTTTTGCACCCTTTCCATTGCTCAGTAGTCACAAACAACACATAGTCAGGATTGAATACCGGGAACCCGATAAAGAGGACAGATTGGACTCTATATGAAAACTACGAAAAGGAAATAAATAAATAAGAGGAACATTATGAAGTGGATATAATGGAAAAATCATTGAGGACACAACACCTGATGGAGAGATGGAAGTCAATTTTTATTTTATTTTTTTTCCTATTTTTTCTTTCTTTTTTTTGTGTGTCTTTTATATTTTTTGTATTTTCTGGTGGACTTGGGGGTAGGGGGATGTACTTCTTACTTTTTTCCTACTTTCCTATCATCTTTTTAAATATTCTCCCTCTTTCGATGTTATTCTTAAAATCTTAATAAAAAACTATTATAAAAAAAAAA